CCTCCAAAGGGCAAGGCTGGCCCCGGCCCCATGGGAATCGGGGCTGCTTGCCATCGCCTTCGTGGAGCTGGCTGCATCTTCCTCCTTCCCTCCCGAGCTTATCCTCTCACCTCGAGAAACCATCTCCTCCTGACTCCGTGCCCGCGGAGCGGGAGCGCCATGGTCCCTGGCCTGGGTTGCTTAGTCACCTTGATGACCAGGAGGGTTGGGACAGGTGGAGGTGCAGCTGCTTCTCTTCCCTGTTGACTGTTGCCCCGTCCCTCCCACCCTGTGCCGTTCGCGGTGTGTCTGTGGCACTGATCTCCCCAGCTGGGGGCTTAACCCGCTCCCCTCTCGCTCACAGTGGGAAGAAGTCAGCGGTTACGACGAGGCCATGAACCCCATCCGCACGTACCAGGTGTGCAACGTGCGGGAGGCCAACCAGAACAACTGGCTTCGCACCAAGTTCATCCAGCGTCAGGACGTCCAGCGCGTCTACGTGGAGCTGAAGTTTACTGTGCGGGACTGCAACAGCATCCCCAACATCCCCGGCTCCTGCAAAGAGACCTTCAACCTCTTCTATTATGAGTCGGATACGGATTCTGCCTCTGCAAACAGCCCTTTCTGGATGGAGAACCCCTATATCAAAGTGGATACAATTGCCCCGGACGAGAGCTTCTCCAAGCTGGAGTCTGGCCGCGTGAACACCAAGGTGCGCAGCTTTGGCCCTCTCTCCAAGAATGGCTTTTACCTGGCCTTCCAGGACCTGGGAGCCTGCATGTCCCTCATCTCCGTCCGGGCTTTCTACAAGAAATGCTCCAACACTATTGCTGGCTTTGCTATCTTCCCGGAGACTTTAACGGGGGCTGAGCCCACCTCTCTGGTCATCGCGCCGGGCACCTGCATCCCCAATGCGGTGGAGGTGTCTGTACCCCTGAAGCTGTACTGCAACGGCGACGGCGAGTGGATGGTACCCGTGGGAGCCTGTACGTGTGCCGCTGGATATGAGCCAACCATGAAGGATACCCAGTGCCAAGGTACGTGCGTGGCGGAGTGACCGTAGCTCTTGTCCCCGCAGACGCGTTGATGCAGAGGAGGCGGTTTTGCGTTGAGCTCGGTCTGTTTTCGGAGGCTCAGGAGCTGGGCAGGCTCCCTGAGGAGGGCGCAGGGTGGTATCTCAGAGGACTGGTCTGCAGTTTGACTCAGCATCTGGAAGCCTTAAAGCCTTCGTGGTCCAGACTGGCGCGGTGCCTGCTGTGACACGCTGGTTAGCATCCGCCAGTGCTATCCTCTGCGGGATGCATCTCCCCACCAGGAGCCATGGCTCAAGGCATGGTTCTCAGCAGGGATCCAGCACGTTTAAGCCCCTGAGCGTTACCAAAATTTCCCCCCTTGTCCCTGCTGCTGTGACCAGCGTCGCTTAAGCCCCTGAGCGTTACCAAAACTTCCTCCCTTGTCCCTGCTGCTGTGGCCAGCGTCTCCCCTCTCTCCCTCCTGCGGTGCTCGTGGCTGGGGCGAGCGATTGTTCCTGGCAAGCGTGATTTCACACTGCTTGTGCGGAGGCACTCGGAAACCCCGGTGGTGAGCGAGGCCCTGCTGCGCTGGCTGCGGGAGAAGCCGTGTGGATGCATGCGGATGCACGCTCCCCCTGCCAGCGCTGGGGGCTTGCAGCAAGGAGGGTGGGGAGCGGCACGAAGGCAGGGGAGCCGAAGCTGCTTGGAGGGGAGGGAAGAGCATCCTGCACATGGAGCTGTTGGGGATGGAGAGCCGCCCTGGGCAGCAGGATAGCCCTGTATGGGTCCCGCAGCGGCCGTTGTC